GTTGCGCGTCGTCGCCAGCGTCGCTGCGTGACGGTCTTCGTGGCGTCGTCGCCGTCGCCGGGCGGGGAGGACGAGGAGGAAGAGGAGGAAGAGAGAGGGAGGAGAAGTGGAGGAGGGGGGGGGGGAGGACGCGAAGAGGAGGACAGGAGGAGGAGGAGGAGGAGGAGGAGGAGGAGGAGGAGGAGGAGGAGGAGGAGTTGGAGGAGCAAGAGAGGGGTAATGAAGGGAGGAATGAGGAGAAGGGGGAGGGACATGTGACAACGGGGAGAGGGGGACGGATAGTGGACGCTGGTTGCGTTGAGGAGGAGCGGGAGAGGGACGGAGAGAGTGAGGGGTCCCCTACGCCCCCCCCCCTCGTTTTTGTGATCTCTCCTCCTCCCTCCTCTCCTCCTCCCTCCTCTCCTCCTCCCTTCTCCTTCCTTTTACTGTACCGAGTGTGGGCGATACTTTCTCACATAACACCCTTTGTTCCCCCTCTATGTTTTATCCCCGTGCAACAGGCTTTAATTGTGGATAGGGGCGCGGAAGCCGAACTTGATAATCCACCGGGGAAGTTGCGAATCGAAGCTGCTAGCATCTCATGTCGACTAGCAACAGTATCAAAAACGCTGAGCATGGCCATGGTGGTCTCACCATATCAGTTTCCGCAATCACGAGCGTGTGGCAGGGCTGTGGGGCACGAGCCTCGAGGTCTCTCGAGTCAGTATTTTGCCGAGCGCTTGCTGGCAAGTTGTATAGCCACGAGCCTCGAGGTCTCTCGAGTCAGTCTTGTGCCAAGCGCCTGCTGGCAAGTTGTACAAGCACGAGCATCGAGATCTCTCGAGTCAGTCTTGTGCCGAGCGCCCAGGATCACCATCATCATGATCATCGTCATCATCATCATCATCATCAGCAGCATCATCATCATAACTTCACCTTCCCTGGGGAAGTCCGTGATCATCCCCGCCAGACCCCGGGATTTTATTATCCCCAGGGTATTATGATCGCCCGTTGACGGTTAGCCTAGAAGCACGGGATCCTAGCAAAGCCAGGATCCACCAGAGATGGTTTTGAGATGGTCGCCCGCTGGTGGCTCTGAGAGCCCCTGGTGGGCCCAAAGGTCGCCCAGCCAAAGGTTCCTCCCACGAGGGTGGCACACAAGATCAACACCTCGGTGGCCTGATTTGTTTCGCGGGAGCGTTGATCGACATTCCTGCCTCCCCACAGCCCCGACGAAACCCGCGGGGTACAAAACTCGACGAACTCCACATATGCATGATTTATGTTATTGCCCCCGCGCGTTGTTTCAAGGCGTGCCCCCAATAAATCGAAACGCCCCTTTTATCATCCCTGAGGATCGTCCCGCATCGGTCGGAATGCGCGAAATGGGAACATGGACATACGAGGAGGGAAACTGGACGGGAGGGTGTATAATAGCAGCATCATTGGTGCAAGGACGGTGGTGATGGTGACGAGTTTCATGCAAGTGACTATACTAGCACCAGGCGTGAAAGGGACAGCTAGCATCAAGTGTTACGACCCAGACACACGGAAAATGGACGGGAGGGCGTATAGCAGCATACTTATGATGGCACTTATGATGGTGACGGTGATGATGGTGACTATGACGGTGATGATTGTGATTATGATGTTGATGGTGTCTTGGATGATGCTGACGGTGCTGATGGTGACGATGATGGTGATGATGTTGATGGTGATCATGGCGGTGATGGTGATGATGGTGACTATCATGGTGATGCTGGTGGTGGTGATGGTAAAACTGATGATGATGGCGATGGTGATGCTAGTGACTGGGATGGTGGTGGTAGTGGCTATGCTGGTGATGTACGTGGCGATGGCGATGATGATGACCTATGGTAAGGTACATCATGTTTCCCGACCTGTGCCCTCATGGTGGGTTGCCGACCATGGGCACCAACGCGTTAAGTTTCACGCCGACGCGTGAAAAGTCATCGGCCGCACTCCCACGGCAGCCTGAAACCAACTTATAACACCTGCAATGATGAACTCCTGGCTGGGAGCTCACGCGCGCATGAACTCCAGCGCCTTGGCCTTGATGACCTCGTGGAGCTCGAGCTTCACGGCGCCCTCGGCCAGCGTGCCGCTCGCCTTGGTCAGCTCCTCGTCGACGCGCGCCTGCCTCTGCGCAAGGCCCGTCTTGTTGTCGCGGTGGATGTTGTGCATGATCTTGCACTCGCTGAGGGTCGTGTCGATGCAGCGGGCGCCCTCCTCGATCCTCTGCGCCGCTGCAGCGAAGAACTCGTCGGCGCCTAGATCGACGAACAGCTTCTGTGCCTCCTTCCTGTACTCGTTGACGCTGTCGATGGCCTTCGTGCGCAGCGACGTCAACCTCTTGCTCGTACCCCTCTGCGCGACGGAGAACACGGCCCCCTCGGCCTTCTCGAGGATCTGCTCCCAGGTCAGCTCCCCGAACGACGCTGGGTCACCCTTGTAGTTCGCGCCGTCGGTCATGCCTCCTGATGGGGGGGGGGGCGACTATACACATAACCAATGCAGCCCTCCCGCCTTCCCCATCCAGCCCAAAGCTTGAGCTGGATGAAGGTGGCGACGAGGAACACATCCGTTATTGCACATTCGCTGCCTCCCCCGATCCTTTCTGAGCGTCCACGGAGTCCGCCATCTTGCCGAGCTGCGCCGTCACCTCGGCCATCCCCGCGCGCTTGAAGTCCTCCAGCATCTTCCCGATGGTGGCGAAGAGGTCTGCGGGCGTCGATCCATGAGGAAGAACTCGGCGCACTTCGTCTGGACCCCGACGTCGGAGCAAGAAGCGGAACCGTCGAGCGTCAGTTTCTCCTTCCAGCGCTCGCGGCCGCTCTCCAGATACACCGCGTGCAAGGCCTGGAATGCATCGAAGCCGTTGTCGCTGACTACCTGCTGCTCCGCGGTCTCGCCCTCTGCGAGGAGATCGATGGCCATCGCGATCGTGTTCAGCTTGTCGGAGAGGAGGTCCGCCAACACCGTATTGTATGTGTCTGGCCACCCTTCGTCGGCGACAAATGGCTTGACCCTGGTGCTCATGAGGGCGGGCTGCTCCTTGTGAAGCTTGATGTCCATGGCCCACTCGGGAGAGACCGAGACCTGTTCTGAGTGCTTGCTAATGCTCGCCATGGCAGCCGTGTTCACCGTTACCATGGCATGGCGAACTGTCTCGATGTGGTCCGCGTCGGTGAAGTGGAGCTGCCTCTGGTAGATCGTCTTCTTGAGAGCGTTCGTGTTATCGACGGTCGGGGCAGAGGCGAACCTCCGCAAAGCCAGCACAGCTTGCTTGGAACCGTCGACCTGCTTCATGTCTTCGTATTTTGCCAAGGAGATGCTGCGCAGCACGTCGATCCTTTCTTTCAGACTCGAGCACTCCCCAACGCTAGTCGAGTTGCACAGCTCCTCGATGAAGCGGTCGACGTCGCCCATCTCCTTAACTTCGAGCTCCTCGACGGCGATGCGGGCACGGAGCCACGTGTTTATGGCATCCAGCAGCTTGGCCCACGCCACGTCGCAAGCGGTCGGCCTGCACAGCTTCGCAATGCGTGTCATCTCAGCCACGTTGCCCTTGAAGAACTCCTGCTTGTCCCCACTCGGTATGTCATCAAGCGTTTTCATCAGGTGGACAACCTTGGGAGCGAGGTCGAACTCGTCCGCCCTGTGTCTCATAAAAAGTGCCAGCGCTGGAGCCCAGAACTTGCTGTCCTCGATGTCCTGCTTGGCGGTCTGCCAGCACTTGTCCAAACTCCCATCCAAGAACTTCTTCACAATCAGGCTGTCCAAGTTCACAAGCTTGTCGACCCCTGGCGCGTCAAGTGACCCCAGAAGGCGCAGGATGGTAATCAACTCCAGGGCACAGTTCTTGAGAATGTCGTAGTCCTGTGGCGTGCCTGCATACTTGTCGACGGCCGCGTCTTCCAAGATGTGTTCCATATCGTCGACTAACCTCGCATTGAGATACCTCCCCGGCTGGCCTTGCTTGACCAAGGGCATCACGACGTACTCCGAGGCCACCGCCCGAAACCTGGCGACGAAGGCAGCTGGCTCAGGTGTAGGGATATCCCGCAGGCGAGGGTTCAGGCAATCGAAGTTGGAGCCGCCGCCGTCGCCATCCAAATCGTCAGCGAAATCCTCGAGGCCATCAATGCTGAAAGGCATGATCGCATCAGCGATGCCCCCCGTGACGCTGGCGCTCTTGACTCGTAGTTGGACCAGTTTCACCGCGTAGGCTGGCGGGAATACCATCCCCTTCTTCTTGAGCTCACCCAGGGTCTTGAACAAGACGCCCTTTTCCACGGATCCTGGGTTCACAATCTTGTATGCTTGCTCGTACTTGGGCCTGGCGCGCCGAACGTTGGAGATGCAAGAGTCGACCTTCGCCGAGTCCTCGAAACGCGTTGCTGCATAGACGTCGGAGCCGTTGTACTTACCCTGGAGAACCTGGCCAGCATCCAATCGGCTGATGAGGTCGATCGCCTTCTCCTGGTCCGTGAGGTTCCGCTTATACCTCTTGTTGCCGCCCGCTGTGGTCGCGGCGCCATCGCTCACCACGCTCTTGGTGTCGCAGGGGCTCTGGTACAACTCAGTCATCGATCCTCCTGACCTCGCCCCCCCTGGCGCCTGCCTCAGAAGCTCAGGCGATCCCGCGTGCATGCCCAGTAACGGGGGAGCTTCTGCGGCGGCGTCGTCAGGATGCACAGAGCCTGCACCTGCGTCGGGGGCCCGCGCGCCCGTCGCAGCAGGCGGGGCCGCACCTTGGCCAGACGCGGCATTGGCCTCCAAGAGTCCACGGCTACCAGCAGGAGGCTCTGCAGAGACACCATCTTGATCTCCGCGCGGCTGCCCGCTGCCTTTGGCGCCCACACCGTCGTCTCCAGGGGCAGTCATACCCAGGGCCTTCTTCTTCAAGAACTCCAGGGTCGGGGGGAACTTGTTCCCGCGAAGGCTCACGGGCAGGGGCTCGGTGAGGAGCTTGCGGACTTTGTCGAACATCGTCGCAG